TGAGAGCACTCATTTTACGTTAATGTTAAGTTAACAGTGGACTGTTCGTTTATCAAACATTCATTTCAATCAACAGTTGGTTAAAGGAAACAATTTGATTTATATGTTTTATTTATAACAAAAATGACTGCTTCTTAATTAAGTAACAATTAACCCAATTTAAAAAATAGAATACACAATTAAGAAGAATATTTACGTGTATGATTTGCATAAATTTCAAATGTGAACCGCTTATATACTAAACAACTAATTGTATTGAAATAAAATTTGTACTAATTTTTATTATTACATCTATAATGTCTTGCAAATCGTTAATGCTGTAGTCCAGAACTTTAAATACCTCGCTAGCATGCAAGCAAGCGCCAAGAGCTCCAACAGCTAAACAAACACACAATCGACGCAATGCGACGTCTCTCCAGTGGCTTGGCGGCTACGCTCACTAGTTTCATTCCAGCAGCGAACGTGGAGCAAGTTGGTTGTGTCGCGCTTCGTTACGGTCTTTCTCACTCTCGCTGTCTCTTTTGCGCCGCTAGTGGTTCATTTTCGTGTTTGTTTTGGCTCTTGTGCAGCCTAGCCTGCTTTATACGGTATATACGCCAAGCTCTGATTCAAAGCGGCGTTTGCGTGCGTGTGTGTGTGAGTGTGTCGGTGTCGGTATTTATGTGTGCGTGTGTATGTGCGCGTTTCAACAAGTGTTTTACTTAAAGAATGCAAAACAAATAAAAGAAAGCAATTGACAACAACAGCAACAACAAAAGGCAAATCAAATGTATATTTGCTATGCCATCTTATCACAAAATATAATAATAATAAAAATAAATATAAATAACTATATATGCACAAATTCAGTTGAAAAAGAAAAGAAAATGCTGCGCTTGGCGTTCCGCTAAGAATTATTTGTTTTGATAATTTGTTGACTCTGGCGGAATTTCTCTCGATAGTCGAAGGAATTTCAAGCAGATAGAACTGTGGAGAAACTGAATGGCACAATTATATTATATATGTAAATTTATTATAAATTTAAAAAAAAAAAATGTGCAGTGATTCGAATAATGTTGGACTGTTGTGATATATAATTAAAGCCAATGCAGCTTATGTAATTGAATACCTTAATGTGTCTGTCCTTCATTAGAGTGGCTACTGTAGCTTGATTGATTGGTGATTACGAGACATGTAAACTGAGCTGCTCGAAAATAAACAAGCTAATGTCAAGGTTTTCTTTGAATTCATTTTGGATGTCTGCGATACAATGTTTTTTTTTTTTTATTTATTTATTTATTTTTTTTTATAATATATAAAAATTTATAGGGCTCTGTATAGCACAGGCATTAAAAAACTTCAAACTATGATCATGTTTCAAATATTGTAATAAATGTTATAGTTATATATGTATAAATCTATATATTTGTTTCATTTCTGCATAGTTATCTCTATAAATGTTACAAAAATCATTGCTTGTCTATAAAAAAAAAGCCCCAAGCATAAAAGCATTTTCATGTCTCTGGAGCTTTGTCTAGTTGTTAAGTTTAAGAGCGTGGATCCTAAAACCTAATAGCATTCAATATAAACGATTAATGGCTATTTCTAATTGAAAGCCTTTTGCACATTTCAGCAAAAAGGAAAAGAGAAGGAAAACAGTTTAAGGCTTTGTGCAAACCATAAAACTAACGACTGCACAAAAACTTGTGTAAACAAACAACAAAAACGAAGCAAACAATTACAAAAATAATAAAAATAAAAATAAAGAAATAAAACATTAAACCGTCTTACGAATTTTCGCAAGTTGAACTCGTCTAACGGATTTTTAAGGCACTTGGCAAACATTTTTATAGCGATTTTTTCGCATTCGCTACTCGTTTTAGCAGTTTTTTTTGGAAGGAAACGAAATACCATTTTATGCGTTATTTGGAAAATCGGTGAGTAGTTGTTACTATTTTCCGTACTTTTATTATTAGTGTATAGTGCATACAGGCAAAAAATATGTATAAATATGCAGAGCTCTCAGTGTGTAAAGTGCTATGGCAAGATGTGCTATAAAAATCCATAAGCAGATTACATCGAAACTAAAAATAGTTCAACTTATGTTTATGGGCATAGAGGTAATCTACTCATACTCTTTACTCAAATCCAGAAGGAGAAGGTAAATTTTATGAGCATATGAACATGCTTCTTAAAAATTTCTAAAGGGGTTTTTAAGCCCATAAATGTTCTTTGAAAAAAGTATTTACATGTGTATGTAACTAGTAAACTTGATATTATGATATATAACTAGGAAACTTGATATGTGATATACAATAAGACAATTTCTATCACACTCTATAAAGATATTATTATATTATATCATACATCATTATTATATTATATATACCTACTTATATACGACAAATTCAATATCGAATCCTTAACATTGATTTAACATTTCATTTGACCATGTATGGGGCTTTTATAATTTTTGAAAACAAAACATGTTAAGACAGGTGAGAGCATATATTTCTCTCCTTTTTTCAATTTGTGAACTTCTTAAGCTAGCTGAACTGTCACTAATAGCAGCTGTCAAACAACTGCTGAACGACTGAACACAGAATCCGAAACCGAAACAAAATTTATGCAAAATGTGTGCACGAGTTGAACAACCCGACAGAAAACGCAACCGCAACGGCAACAGCAACAGCAAAGGCAACCGCAAAAGCAACTGAAAGCGAGTGTTAGCTAGAGTCGATATATGCGATATATATGCGATATATGTACATATGTATGTGTTTATGTGTGCTCGTACTGTTGGGGCTGGGTCTAACCTTCACAATCTGGCCGGCAAGATCTAATGTCATTAAAATCGCACAAGGTTAGAGGCAACAGGTAAGAGCAAGTGCTGGAGCTGGAGCTGAATTGGTTCATGTGGCGTAAACTTTTCATTTCATGTGGGCTTTGCACCTGTCGTAGCCAAACAGAAAGAGACAGAGAGAGAGAGAGATGACGATGATGTGGTTTTGCTTTAGCCGTCACACGATCTATCAATTTTACATATACAAAAAATTAATTATATAGATTTTGTAGATTTTGAGAATTGGTAAGCACTTGGAATGCTTTGCGGTAAGAAATGCTCCCTCTTCTGCCTCTTCTTGAGCATCTGGGGCACAATTCAGTTGCTGCTGATGGGCATGTCCTATTCGCTCAACTCCATGGGTATGTTTCAAACTCTGCCGCTGAAGGAGACCTATAAGAGTCTGCAGCAATTTCGCACCGAGTGCGATCGCTTAAATAGGACTCTGGCATTACGCTGCTATGTATCTGCCATACTCTATGCCTTATTTGCCTTCTGCTCCTACATCTGTTTCTGCACCCGAAAGAGGCGAGCTAACATGCAGAAACTAAAACCGAAATCTAAGAAAGCGCAATTGAAGACAAACCGTTTCATATAGCACTTATATACATATACATATGTCTTTGTGTATTTCTATATATATTTTGTAGATCTTGACATTATAAAGCGACATATTTCAGCATTGCATATTGCGATCAAGTTCTTTTCCTACCTACCCACAGTCAAAGCAAGTAAGAACGTTGCAGTTGAGCAACATCGACTGCAGAATACTCATTCATGGCGTCAATGCAGGTATATCCATTTTTCGGATCAGGAAATCCTGACACTTTGTAGTCCGAGAGTAGCAGTCCGCATGGCGCACAAAACCAATATACTTTGCTCACTCTCGTGAATGAGTATATATAGTGAACACCCACGCCCACACCCACCGCCCAGAGTGCAACGGGGAACAAGTTTGTTGACCGCATTCTCGCAGTCTCGTTTGGGGCGTACAACTGACGTGATTAGCTTCTCTTTAGCTTCTTTATCTGTTTAAACGACCAGCGAACGACAAACTACTTTTGTTCAATCTCTCCACATCGTCAACTATACCAAAAAATTTTGACAACTTTTCTAGTGGTAGTGCTCCAGTGTTGTGGGCTGACAGCGCACGCACGTGACACCTTTGTAGATTCTGTTCTTTTGGGGGCATCATAAATTTCCATGAAATCTTTTTCTGATGCTCTCTAACATGCTAATGCGCTGCTGGTTGGGCTCTGGGTCTGGTTCCATCGTCTCTTCAGTCCATCAGCTTTCAGGTATCTCTGCAACAGATAAGCTTTGTCTCTGTATCTCGCGACCGTTCGCACTACCCATTTTCTCGAGCAGTTATGTTTCTTTGTTATCGCAGCCAATGGACGCTGCCCCGCTCTGACTTACTAACCAAATGTGCTGCTCCACAAAACTTACAGAGTTTACAACTAATTTGCTGTGTAATTTATGTGATTTTGGGTGCATTGAGCTACGAAAACAAAATTACATGAGAGCTTTTAAGGCGCACTTAAAACATTTTCAATTTATTTTATTCCAATTTTTCCAATTTTTTATTTAATTTATTGTATAGTTTTCTATACATATATACAGATATAAAAATATCAATTTATCATCAAATATGGGCCTTCTGGAATTGAAGAAAAAATAAGTCGAGTCAACGTTAAATCGTCTTTTCCTTTTAATTCAAATTCTTATCGAGTAGCCTTTTAGCAGGTAAACAAATTAAATTCACTAAAATCCATATCGTGTAGCATATAAATAGTAGTATAAAAATCATAGAATTAATCGACATTTCACTAAAAAGTAAGCAAATTGCCGTAGTACTCATAACAGTTTGACGGAATTCAAAGAATTCATAACGATTGCACTTTTTGCTGCTGCCATTGACATTTTTGTCTTTTGCTTTAGCTTTCAAAGAACAGAAAGCAAAGTAAGGCAACAAAATCAAAAAAGACAAACAGAACAAAATCATAAAACGAAAACGAAGCAGCTTTTGAGAAAGTTATTGTCGGTGTGGACAATTATACTTTTACCAGTCACACATCAAAATAAACAAATCCGCATTTGCTATCGGAGTACGTCGAAGGGACGAGCCGGGAAATATGTCCAGACTTCTGATGGCCGCTCCATCGCGGCTGGCGCGTGAGTGTAAGTAGACCTCAGATATATGTAGTTCGGAATGCGCCTTAGTTATATCTATTAATTAACACTGATTATTCAGTGCGCTATACTCGATTCAACAAATTTCCGATCTTTAACCGGCATTTCGCCGCGAAGTCCACATGCAAGGGTGCACAGGAGAAGAAGCCTCCACCGAAGCCGGGCTACTTTCCGAGCGGCGGCACTCATGCCACCTTCGATGATTTGCCCAAGCCCCAGGGTGATTTCATGAAGGAATGGAAGGCCAAGAACTCTAGATACAATATGGCATTATTGAGCGGCATTGCAGCGTTTGTTGGCACCCTTTTCCTCTGCATCACATCGGAGGATTTTCGATTGTATTACGATATACCGGACTATCCGTACACTGAGGATGAGATGGAGGAGTTCGCCAAGGAGGAGGAGCGTCGCGAGCAGGAGAAGGAGGAGCGCGAACAGCGCCGTCAAGATCGACTGGATGCCAAGGAGCTGAAAGTGCGACGCCGCAAGGCCAAGGAGGCCATGAGCCGTGAGGTGGAGCTGATGCAGAAGGATCTCGATGAGGGCGATTTGGATGAAGGTGAGATGGCCGAGCTCATTCAGCTGACCCAGGATCGCGAGGAGTTCGAAGCCTATGAGCGGGAGGAATTGAAACGGCTCGCCGAACAGGAGAAGGAGCGCGAAAAGATCAAAAAGGAAAAGGAAAAAGCCAGGCAGGAGCAACAAAAGCAGCGCGACAAGGAACGCAAGGAGCGCGAGAAAGGCACTGCATAGACGAATTCAAAAGAACAGCTAAAACATCATCGAACTACATCAACAACAATGTTACCCATTATATGTTAACACATTATGTATTATTAATGTCCACTTGCTTCCGGCATGATCACCAACAACAGCAGCTAAGGTCACAAGGAACACAGAGAACCAAAGAATGAAATCGTAGAACAACGTGGAAAGCAAAATTAATAATATATTTAGATTGATTCGACGGATTTACGAGCATCGGGAAATGATCAAAAATAAATATTGTAATTATTGTTGTTGCTAAAAATACCTATGATCGGATTTTATCTGAAATGTCCTGAATATAGAGAGTGGGTCTATTTGCTCTGTATCTGTATCTTTTTCTGTTTCTGTATCTGTATCTGCATCTGTTAGACGCGTATCTATCCGTAGAATCAATTTGCATTCAAAAATAGTCATGGAG